ACTAGGGTGCAGTACAGCACCGACAAAACACGCAACATTCCCCTAGTTCCTGAATGCTAACCCACCTCCACTCCCCCCACCCCCGACTACCATGATCCAGTTCTACCTTACAAATCCGACTAGACCGGAGTATGTACATTTTTACAGATAAGAGCTTTGGACACATGGGATCCAGGACAGATAAATGCCTCACAGACATAGTGGGAGTAGTAATTCCATGAGAGTAGGATGGGGGTGGTGGGAAGATAGGGGGAACTGATCACAAGGTTGGATATATACTCCCCCCCTGAGGGGAATGAATAATAGAAATGTGGGTGAAGGGAGACAACAGATGGTGTAAGATACAAAATAACAATAATAACATATAAGCGATCAAGGATTGATCGTGGGAAGGTAGGGGAGGGAGGGGAAAAAAGAGGAGCTGATACCAAGGGCTCAAATAGAAAGAAAATGCTTTGGAAATGATGATGGAAACATATGTACAAGTGTGCTTAATACAATTGAATTATGGTTTGTTTTAAGATCTGTAAGAGCACCCCTCCCCCAGTAAAATGATTAAAATATTAAAAATGATTCCTCAAAACAAAACCCACTGCTTAGGAGTCACTCGCAACTCAAACCAACCTTACATAGGGTTTCTGAGGCTGTAAATTTTTACAGGAGTCGATAGCCTCATCTTTCTCATGTAGAACAGCTGGCGGATTTGAACCACCTACCTTGTAGTTAGCAGACCAACACTTACGCAACAGTGCCACCAGGGTCTAAAAAACTCTATAGGGCCAGTCTACTCTGACATATAGCATCAATATGAGTCAAAATTGACTCGACAGATGACAATAGCTGTAAGGTCTGTGTGCTTGGTCCTGGTTGAGACATACCTGCACCTCTACCAAGGAGTCGTGGCGGTGTAGCAGTGACACATCCGGGTGATTCCTGCAAGGTCATCCGTTTGGAACCACTTGCTGCTCTGTGGGAGAAAGACAAGGCTTTTTACTCCCGTAAAGAGTTACAGACTTGGAAATCCACACGGAATTTCTACCCTGCTCTAGCGGGTCGCTATGAATTGGAATCCACTTGATGGCAATACGTTTGATTTTTCTAGTTTGTCCTTCTGCCCTTCCTGCCACGATCTGAAAACTCCCCACTCTCAAAAGCCTTTGTCTGGATTTGGGGTGTCTGACCTCCAAAGGCTTGTGTACACGTGGTTTATTTGGGAGGTGGTATCAGAGCGCTCATGCGACGCAGTGAGATAAGGAAGAGAGATCAATCAATAAAGGGAGATTAGCGAGCAGGTTTCTGCTGTAGGGGACTCGCGCTCATGCCTGCAGGGGAACTCTGAGGTGCAAAGCTAGCAGTTAACTGGGAACTGTGTGCGCTTCAGGAGAGCTACCGTGGGCAGAGAGGAGATTGAGAAAGGCACCAACAGAGTCTTAACAACGAAAGGAGACCTGATTGGGCAGCTCATCGCCGTTTTTTTTTCTTATCACCGACACAGCTGCACACATGTTGTCATGTGCAAGGCATTACTGCCAGGAGCACCGTTCCTGTCATGTACAGTACTGGTGGCTACTGCAGATCATGACCGGCAGGAGTGGCAAAATTCATCAGCGACCTTCAGGGTTCAACTCAAAGAAAGACCTTCACTGCCATCAAGCTGATTCTAACTCCGCGTGACCCTTATAGGGCAGGGGAGAACTGCCCCTGAGCCTTTCTGAGCCCGTCACTCTTTACGGGAGTAGAAAGCGTTGTCCTTCACCTTCAGAATGGCTGGGAGTTCTGAACTGCTAATCTTGTGTTTAGCAGCACGCTTTGTAACCACAGCACCCATAAGAACTCCTTCTCTGTAGGCCAAGGGCTCACAAACGACTCAGTGTTGCTCCAGTCCCTGGAGTGATTCTCCATTTGCTCTGGGGAGGAACCCTGAATACATGGAGGCAGCTGAAAATCTAGGGCAACCTGTTGGTGGTCACGATATTCTCTTCTTTATTGTAGACTTCACTCGCTTTGGGTGACATCTGATCAGAAAGTGTGAAATCTAAATTGCATTTTCATACACCATTCTTTTCCAGCAGCACGTGACTAGGACTTACCCATCAAGCACCAGTATCTGCTGAGCTCCTTCACTACCAGAAAGCTGGATTTCTTTTCATTGATCTGAGAACAAGCCAACTGCTTCTATTTGAAACGCATTCAGCTGCAGGGCAGGGAACAGTAAGTTGACTTTAGGGCCTTTGGTCAATTGGAGCTTCTTTTTCTCAGCCATTAGGAACACTGGGAGGAGATGATGGCTGGATTTAGTTCAAGGGCTCAGCCAGGCTGCCTGGGACTCAGACTTGGAGCACATTCACCCAGGGGACATTTTCTTTTTCTTTCTTAAATCATTTTACTGGGGGCTCATACAGCTCTTATCACAAGTCATACATCGATCCATTGTGTCAAGCACATTTGTAGATATGTTGCCATCACCATTTTCAAAACATTTTATTTTACTTGAACCTTTGGTATCAGCTCATTTCTTCCCTCTCCTCTCCCTCCCCCATGAACTCTTGATAATTTATAAATTACTATTTTTTTCATGTCTTACACTGACTGCTGTCTCCCTTCACTCACTTTTCTGTTGTCCATCCCTCTGGGAGAGGATTATATGTAGATCATTGTGATTGGTTCCCCCTTTCTCTCCCCACCTTCCCCGTACCCTCGTGGTATTGCTTCTCTCATTATTGGTCCTGAGGGGATTATCTGTCCTGGATTCCTTAGGTTTACAGCTTTGATCTGTACCAGTGTACATCCTCTTGTCTAGCCAGATTTGTAAGGTAATTGGGGTCATGATAGTGTGGGAAAGGAAGCATTAAATAATTAGAGGTAAGTTGTACATTTCCTTGGTGCTATACTGCACCCTGACTGGCTCTTCTCTTCCTTGTGACCCTTCTGTAAGGGGATGTCCAATTGTCTACAGATGGCCTTTCAGTCTTGACTCCGCACTACCCCTAATTCACATAGATATAATTTTTTTGTCCTGGGTTTTGATGCCTGATACCTGATCCCATCAACAGCTCAAGATCACACAGGCTAGTGTGCTTCTTCCATGTGGGCTTTGTTGCTTCTCAGCTAGTTGGATGCTTGTTTATCTTCAAGCCTTTAAGACCCCAGATGCTATATCTTTTGATAACCCAGCACCATCAGCTTTCTTCACCACATTTGCTTATGCACCCATGTTATCTTCAGTGATCATGTTAGGAAGGTGAGCATTACAGAATGCCAGATTATTAGAACGAAGTGTTCTTGCATTGAGGGAGTACTTGAGTAGAGGCCCAATGTCTGTCTGCTATCTTAATACTAAACCTATAAATATATGTACATAGATCTATTTCTCTATTGTTATATAAAATATATTTGCTTATGTACATGCCTGTATTTAGGCCTTCATAAATGTCCTTTGCCTCCTAGTTCTTTCCTCTATTTCCTTTTACTTTCCTCTTGTCCCACCAACATGTTCAGCCTTCATTCAGGTTTCCTTGTGGTTACATTGCCCTTGATCAAGCCCCACCAGGCATCTTACGCCCTCCTCACCATTTATTTTAAATCACTTGTTGTTCTCTTGTCCTTTCCGTTCCGCCCCCCCTACCATGTCGCCCCAGAAGCATCCTTGCCATTGTTTTCTCCTCCAGATTGTTTATCCTACCTATCTTATCTAGATAGACATGCAGAGACAATAATAAGCATAAAAAAGACAGAGCAAAACAAAACAGCAAAAGAAATAAAACAAAACAACAACAAAACTAACGACAAAAAAAGCCTATAAATAGTTCAAGGTCTGTTTGTTGACCTTTAGGAGTGTTTTCCTGTGGAGTCTGATGGGGTGCCACACCCTGGTCCCACAGTCTATTTTTGGTATTCCCCGGGCACTTCATTGCTTTGCTCCCCTTGCTGTTCTGTTGCATACCCTTAGCATTTTGCTCCGGAGTGGTGGGGTCAGATTGCGCACAATTCCCACACTGTGCCTCCAGTGTTGTCCCTCATAGTCCTATGGGTCAGTGAGGGACAGCATGTCTCGTGGTGGGGCCGGCCCTATGGTCCTCTCTGTGCATTGGCTGCTCTGAGCAGGAGTATCATCCTCATCCTGAGCCAGGATATGTTCCGCTCTCTCTCCCTCTCTCTTCGATTACTTCCGTGTGCTCTGATCAGACGGGAAAACGGCAAATATTTTATTATATCTATTTTGCCACAATAAAAAGAACCACTTCTGAATTTACAGTGGGGGAAAAAATAGTGGGCACGTACCATAGGATTTGACAATGCACTGTATAAAAAAAGTTTGCTGTCTCTGACCTGGTCCTTATCATCTTTTAAATGGATATTTTCTGTTAATTAATTTATTTTCTGTTTTCCCCTATTGTTTGGGGACAAAGCCATAGGCGTTAGTAGAGGCAGTATAGTAGTAGAGGTCTAGGGAATGAATACTGACTCCAGGGCCTGGAACCATCTGAATTGGTCCATAGTGTACCATTATTTTGACCTACAAAAGGACAGGGTTATCAGTCTAAAGTAATGTTCTAATGATCATCCGGGGACTATTCATTGAATGCTACTTTTAAAGAACTTTAACAGCTACCAAGTACCCAAAGGAGAGTTCCGGGCAGGCCCACTCTCTGGACCCCCGCTGAGAAACGCACCTCGGTGCTGCCTCCCAGAGTCTGTATGGAACGTGCCCCTTTCCCGGCCTCCAGGTACTACAGCTAAAGATAGCCACTTTTCCTAGTTGGCGAACTTCTCTCTACTCCCTCAGAAGATGTGAGAAAATGCAGCCCGCACCTTCTGGAAGATAGGAGGGCCGTAAGCTCCCGTAGCCACCTCCCGGCTGACATCTGAGCCCTGCTTTCAGCACGGCCAAGCCGCTCGCTCGCTCGGAGGCAGGCGGCGTATGGCTTGTATCAAACTCTATATTTAGGAAGAACAACTGTGAGCTATGACAGGAATTCTCTTTAACACTTAGCCTTCAACCCAGCTCCCCTCCAGCCCCGAGCCGGGAGCAGCTCTCCGTACTGGTGAGGCGCCGAGCACTCGAGCTGTTCCAGCCACATGAAAAGCATCGGAATTGAGATCACAGCTCAGAGGACGCCGGGCATCCCTTCCACCCTCCAAGAAACCTTGTGTTCTTGCATCTGGCTGCTTGGGACTTCCCTTAGGCAGTAAACAAATAAATAAAGCAGGTAAGCAGAGGGACCCAGCTCTGGCACCGGGGCTTTCTAAAGGAAAATTCCTGGACGTGGCTACTTAAAACTTTGTAGGCTCTTAAGTCGTGGAGCGTATTCTTGGTAAATGTACTGCCCATTGGTGCTGCTTCTGTCTTAGACATTGCGGGTGGGGTGGGGTGAGGTGGTGTGGCAGGGGAGGGGGGAGAGGGAGGGGACACTGAACAAAGTATTGAGCTAGAAGTAGTTTACCTTGACAGTGACAGTAACAAAATTTCTACCCTTTCAGGTATGGTAACTTTGACCCTGAAACAGCCCTGGCCAGACTTCCAGTTGGTCAGCTACAGACTGATTAGGGCTGGCGTCCTATAAATAATCTGGAGAATTTGGGGCAGCGAAAAGCTATTAGGCGAGTTCTGTGGTTTACCTAAGTGCTAATGATTGCTGGGATTATTACAGAGTTCGTTTAAAAGGCTTTTGCTGCTGTCCCTAGGTACCAGGCTTCGTCTCAGTAATAAAGCTCTATCAGTGATTTATACCTATACGGATAGGAAAATATGCCCGAACCAACAGCTCCATTTTGGCCCCCGTTTCCCGTACCCAGCAGACTCAGGGTCTCTGTCCCTGTGGGCACCAGGCTACGAAGCATGGTGGCGCTCTGAGTATCTCTGCCCTCTCAGCATATTTACGGCAGAGTGAATAAGGAGTCCGTCAGTTCAGACAGCTGAGCATCTTTCTACACCCTGCTCAGGACTTATTTTTAGCGGCAGGACAGAGGGTAAGTTCCTTTGAGATTTAGCTTTACCCATTGATTTGACCTTTAAAACAACACCAAGCCCCTTAGCTCCAAATATTGATAGATTTACTTCCGGATCCCTTCTTAGATCAGTGCCGTGCATGTTGACAAAGTTTTAGCAAGTGAGCAAGAGTCTGGTTCAGAAGTCAGATACTAGAGGCTGCCCAATCAAAAAAATAAATAAATAAAAAAGCAGGGGTGAATGGGACATGACTCAGCATACAGACCATTAAAGGTCCCCACTGACCTGCAAACCTGCCAAAAAAACCTCAGCTGTGCTAAGCTGGCGAGCAATTCCATGATAGTATGGGCTTGGTAAAAGTAACTATCTGTCTTGTCCAATGTTTCATGTTTTCCTATGTGAGCAAGAACCAGAAAACCCAGTCAGAGAGCCCTCTAGAGAGTTCCTCTTAGGACGGAAGCATGTGCCATCGTCCTGTGAGGCAGGACTTGCTTTTCTGGTCCTGAGAGGCAGCATGGCAAGGGAGAAGGAAGGTCCATCCCACATGCTAGATCTCTGGGGGGGCTCAGGGAGGCCCAGGGCAACAGGCAGGAGACACTATCTATTTTTATTCGCCAGTGTGCTTTGCCCTGATTTCTCTGCGAATAATGAGGCCAGCAAGTGCTGCCACTGAACTGCTGTGCACCAATGTTATCTGCCGGTGAGCACTGCGCGGGATCTGACCAACGCTCCATACATGTCGCGCTCCATACATGTCGCTCTCGCAGGTGAACATCAATGCAAAGGACGAGCCATAGGCTCGTGAGAAACTCTAAAGGGGACAGGCCTGAGGGAGAGCCTGAGCTATTAGGCTCAGCAGTACAATCACAACCAAGCGATCCAGCAGTTTGTGTCATCGTGTCTGAGAAAAACCACAATGACCATCTCCCTCCCTCCCTCCCTCCCTCCCTCTTTTTCTTTCTCTGAAAGCTAAATGCAGTCCCGACAGCACCATCATTCATGGTCTGATTTTGGAGGGCGTGTGAATCGTCCAATCTGCTATTATAATAAAGAAATGTACTGATGGCAAGGTATTAATGCTATGCCCAATAGCTTTTTTTAAAGTTCCCAAGTGGTATCAGTTATGTTTGAGTTACATGCACGGACAGTACTAGAGGTGGAGGGATTTCAATTCCTCCATGGCTTTGACAAGCTTTTGAGGAATAGATAGGTTCCAAATGGAACCACTAAGTTTTTCCTTTGGGGATTCAGTCATGTGTTGTAGATGGGAAATTAAAAATCCCTCATGGACTCTTGGTCACCCATCTATCCCAAACTCACCACAGAGCAAAAGTCACTCCTGATGGTTCAATTGTTTTTTGCTCTTCAAAATAAAATATAAGTCTATCTAGACCTGTACACATGTAGGCTCTGTCCAGATGTTACTAGAACATCTGTCTGTGTATTACAAAAGCCATCAGATGGAAACAGCATAGATTCCCTTGTCTTCATGTCTGTGGTTCCAGATGGCTATATAATTGGTCATGCAAATTATGTTGTTCAGTTCATTATTCCAGCGAGTCGATCCTGACCCATAGCGACCCGATGCACGACAACACATGGTTGCAGCCACCGTGTGGATCCATCTCCTTGAAAAAGCCCTCCGCGTTTTTCGCTGCCCCTCTACCAGACAGGATGTCCTTCCTTAATTATACAAAGCAGGTGATCATTTAACTTCACATGGAAAAGCCAAGGATCTTCAAGATCTCAAGGGGCAAGTTTTACCCAAGATTATTCTCGGCTCTTCTATTCCGACCAGGCTTATCTGGATTTCCATCATCATCCTGTACTTAAAGCGACAGAGAAACATCACTCCCAGGAGTTCCTCCAAACCAAACTTACTAGCCATCGAGTCCGTTCTGACTTACCGCGACCCTCGAGGACAGAGCAGATTTGCTCTTGTGGGTTTCTGAGACTGTAAAGGAGGAGAAAACCTCATTCCCCCGCCCCCGCCCCCAACCAACCCGGTAGCTTCCAACGGCTGACCTTATAGTTAGCGCCCCAAGGTATGGGCAATAACAATGACATGATTCATATTTACATTGTGCTTCATAGCTCACAGGCCATTGTAAGGAACATGAGGTCTTTCTGGTTGTTACTGCAACCTGTGCAGCGGGTGTAATTTAAGGGAAAGGAACCAGACTTAGACATGTTGGGTGACATAGCACAGGTTACCCAGGACTTGAGGCCGATGACCCCTCGCTCTCCCTGTAACTCCGCCACCGTGACTAGTATCAGAGAGGGAGACTGAGCTTGGAGTGACATCTGCCTCCGCATCACGAGTTCATGCACTCCCCAGGGAACACACTCTTACCAACCAGCAGAGAGAACTCCCTATACAGACTTGACAGTTGGGGTTTCAAAAGCAACACATTTCAATCCGTTGACTGTTTAAGTGCTCGATCGATCCTGGCCACACTGACTAGACTGAGTGACGGGAATCGCTGTGATCTGTCGGCTTACCGAGAGCGGGACAGAACACCACGGCCTACACATAGTGGGCACTGGTTGCTATGCTCTTGTTTCCTGGATTGAGAGAAAGGGAAAGGCTCTGGGGGGGAGACGTGCTTCCAGATCTTGGGGCTCTGGCGTGCTCAGCCAAGTCTCCTGTGTCTTCTGACATGTTTTGTAAAAGGACGAGAAGACAGGTGAGGCTTGCCTGTTTGCTGAGAATGTGCGCTGGGCGAGATCTCTCCTGAGGACACATAGGAGACACCAAGGCGGGAACTGTCAGTGTGGTCTCAGAGCTGAACGGACAAGGGCACCTAGAGTCACGGGCGCAGGAGGAGGAAGACACAGGCTGTTGCTCTTCAGGGGTCCCCACACGAGGAGGTGCTCCTGGTAGACTTCTGAGCCACCCCGCCACTGGCCAATTCAGATCAAAAGTTCCGTTTCAGGTTGAAAGCTTCCGAGGCCTGACACATGGTGTCTTGTTTCCTACCGCCTCTTTGCAGCTCTCACGGAGGGTCAGGAGGGCAGGGAGGGAGATGAGAGCGCCTTTCAAGTTTCTGATGGCCTATCATTAGCATCAGGGGCGAGGCATCTCAGTATTTCTCCTCCTGAATGATTTATCTGGGGGCTCTAGTGTTCCCTCTCCCCGAGGCATTAGGAAGGAGAGGCCCGCTGTCACTTTGGAAACTGAGACGGAAAGACTAGCTGGCCAGGGAAAGGGGTGACTGACCAGCAGAATCGTGAGCTAAATTGTAATTTATCAAGATGGAGAATCTAAATGCCGCCACCTCTAACAGTTTCTTGCTTGTTTCTTTTTAAGGAGCAGATCACGTGAACATGTCGAAACAACCCGTTTCCAATGTCAGAGCCATCCAGGTAAGTAGGCACATTTGCGTTTTAGCATCAACTCTTCGACTTCTAGCCGAATAAACCATATTTTTCCACCATCACCCCCAGAAGTAGTTGATGGCTTACTTCTCAAAGAAAAGAATGTTGTCTGTAAGCCTTGTAAGATACCACTACAAAAGGAGAAGGGTTTTTTTTTTGCTTTTATTTTAAATCATTTTATTGTGGGCTCGTGCAACTCTTATCACAATCCATCCATCCATCCATTGTATGTCAAGCACATTTGTACATTTGTTGCCCTCATCATTCTCAAAACATTTGCTTTCTACTTGAGCCCTTGGTATTGGCTCCTCATTTCCCCCTCCCTCCCAGCTCCCCCCTCCCTCACGAACCCTTGATAAGTTATAAATTATTATTTGGTCATATCTTACACTGTCTGATGTCTCCCTTCACCCACTTTTCTGCTGTCCGTCCCCCAGGGAGGGGTTATACATAGATCCTTATAATCAATTCCCCCTTTCTAGCCCACCTTCCCTCCACCCTCCCGGTATTGACACTTTCAACATTGGTCCTGAAGGGATCATCTGTCCTGGATTCCCTGTGTTTCTGGTTCCTGTCTGTACCGGTGTACATCCTCTGGTGTAGCTGGATTTGTAAGGCAGAATTGTGATCATGATAGTTGGGGTAGAGGGCGAGGAAGCATTTAAGAATTAGAGGAAAGTTGTATGTTTCATTGTTACTGCACTGCACCCTGACTGACTCGTCTCCTCCCCCCAACCATTCTGTAAGGGGATGTGCAATTGCCTACAGATGGGCTTTGGGTCCCCAATCTGCATTACCCCTCCTTCACAATGATATGATTTTTTGCTCTTTGATGCCTGATCCCTTTGACGCCTCGTGGTCACATTGGGTCTCCACTCAAGTACTTCCTCAATGCAAGAACATTTTGTTCTATTAAACCAGCATTCCTTGAAGCTCACCTTCCCTATATGATCACTGAAAACCAATGGGTGCATAAGCAATGGTGGTGAAGAAAGCTTATGATGCCTGGCTATCAAAAGATATAGAATCTGGGGTCTTAAAGGCTTGAAGGCAAACAAGCGACCATCTAGTTCAGAAGCAACAAAGCCCACATGGAAGGGAAGTTGTTTTAGTTTAATGGTTTTGACCTGTGACACGAGCAAGCAAATGTGAATCCTATTCTACTGAAATGCAGTTCATATGTGTTCTCAAGATCTTTCTCGATGTATATTCTTTTGATGAACTCATTGATATAATTCGATTTCCATTTTTATGTTCAGTGGAGTTTGTTGGCCAATCTGTTTAAAAGTCACCTTTCTTTAACATTCTTTTGTAGTCAAGTGTTCTTTCCAAGACTTGAGTATTTATCTTGTAAAGCCCGTGTGCCGTTATTATTTCTTTTTCAAGCCTTCCCAGCCAACAAATTCACTGGCTATTTAAACTGACTTTCCATGTTACCCAAAATAAGGGTAAGTCAGCATTTTGATCCCAAATGATAGTTAGGAAGGTAATGTGTCAGGTGTTATTTCTCTTCAGAGCCCAAAGAGCCCAGAGAGGCTCTCCCTTTGAATACAGTGCTTGGTCCTCAAATCCCATCTTTCCTTTCCATCGATGTGGAGCCTCTTTTTGTTTTGTCCAAAGGAACTGTTAAAGCTTTAAATTTCCCCCGGGCTCTTCTGAATTCCACAGGACATTTGGCACTTGCTGACTGTTGCCACCCCTCCCAAGAAGTGGTGGACTGCAATTTGGAGGGGCAAGTGCACAGGCAGGTCTTGAGTGCCTTGTCGAGAGCTATAGAAACCCCAGCACACTCCAGTGTTAGAGGTGGGTACAGGGACAGCTCTTTCCCTGCCATGCTTAATGCATATTCTTACGTTGATGGGGCTCTTAAGTGACAAGATCTAGAACCATCTCCGGAAACCTATCACTCATCCAACTACCACAGAACAAATGAACTGTGTATTTGGCAAAGATTTGACTCCACATCATCTTGCTTATTCCTCTGGTGTCCACCCAGTGAGTCTCTGACAGTCCATGGCTATTGATGGTGGGATTGAACTGGTATCCCTGATCTGTGGGCATTCTTGAGCCTTTGAACCTTCTGCTGCACCCAGGGTGCATCGTGGTTAGGAATAAGAGCTCTGAAGCTACATTGCTGGACTTTGAATCCTTCATTCACCTTGTCCAAGTTGTGGGATCCTGGGAAAATGACTGCACCCTGCTGTGCCTCCATTTCCACATTTGTAAAGTGGGGCTACTAATATGAGGGGGCTGTAGAAAGGTCATGGAAAAATTTCATGATCTTTGCATTCCATTTGCCCATGACGTTTTTGAAAACCCTTGCCAATACCCACCTCTGAGGGCTGTCTGTATCCAAGATGCTTCAGACAGTGTAATGAAGCAATCATGATTTGTCCATCATTGTAAGAGTTATTATTCAGGATGGCCTTATGTTCGAGGTAGATGAAATGACCCTATTTAATCACTGGATCCGAAGCTCTGACGTGCTAAGCATAACACGTCCTTTGTGTTCTGCAGGACACAAACAAAGCCTCCTTCTGACAGGCTTTGCTTCTCTTCCTTTTCATAAGCTGAAAGTGTATGGATTGTATTCCTCAATGCTCCCTCCAAAACCAAAGACCCAAGTCAATGCCATCTCCCAAACCCTAAATGAAACTCATGGCCACCAAGGTGATTCTGACTCTTAGCAACCAACCCTAAAGGACAGGGTAGATCTGCCCCTGTGGGTTTCCAAGACTGGAACTCTTTAGAGGAGTAGAAAGCCTCATTTTTCTGCCTCAGAGGGGCTGGTCCTTTTGAATTGCTGGCCTTGTGCTTAGCCACCCCATGTGTAAGCCACTACTCTGCCAGAGCTCCTTGGTCTGCCTTAAATCTACTCTGAAAATTCATTAGCATTTTATTTCCAATTTTGACCTTGACGTATTTTTAGATTTTCAATATTTAAAAAGTCTCTATTGACTGCTTCCCATAGCGGCCATTATGTTGCATTTAAAACAATCTACCAATAAAGGCAATTAGGCAGTTCCTTATGGATGTGGTATTACCTCTTTCAATATATGCCATGTCATGCAAGAAGCCTGATTTAATGTACTTTCAAATGAAGTATTATTTCATGTGGCTAACTAGACTCTGCACTATCTAGTCTTTTTTGATCATCTTTGCATTAGACTAAAGTAAATAAAATATGGAAATGATTATATTTCCATTTGGTTTACAAAATGGTTGATAGTAGAAACCTCTAGGTTATGGTCATGTCTGGAAAAAAATAGAAACCTCAATTGATGAGGGAGGACTCTTATTGTATATGTAGCACTTAAAAGTATTAAGTATTCTACTCAACAGAGTTTAACTACCACTTCTTTCTATTAACCGCCCCCCCCCCCAACCCAAACTCATTATCAATGAGTCTTTGAGTCAATTCCAACTCATAGCAACCCTGTCACATAGAGTAGAATTGCCCCTGTGGGTCCAAGACTGTAAATCAGAAAGTCTTGCCCTTCTCCTACGGAGCAGCTTATCCTGTAGAACTGTTGACCTTGAGACGAGACACCCAACGTGTTGACTCACTACGCCAACAGGGCTTCCTATTAG